GGATCAGATATTGCTCATTTTTATCTCTGGAACCTAGAAGTATCTTATATGGCAGGTGTTCAAGAAGAGAAGAAAATGAAAGGACTGGAAATGCTACTCCAATGGGCAAACAATGGGCTGAGTGGGCTGGTGGCATTTTCATGGGACAGAATGAGGAATAGCAGCAACCTGCCACTCTAGATTTTATTCATTCATGTGCTTACTGCACAGATACTCAGTGGGTGCTGTCATAATGCCCAGCACCAAGCTGGAAGCTGATATACAAAATGAGGCAGCCAGACCCTGCTCAGAGGCATTCCCATTCAAGGGCAGGAGATGGGCATGTGAAGGAACTGGCCAGGCATTTGGAGTCGCCTGGCTTGCTCTGAGGACTCTTGCCACTCAGCTCTGCAGGGGCTGTGGAGAAGGGGAAGGCGTAAGGAAAAGGCGGTGACGATGGGCAGAACAGGGAGGCCTCCGAGAGGGCTCTGCCTCGGTGACAATCCTGTTGGCCAGTTGGCCTGTGAATGTTTCTGCCCTTTGTAGGAATTCCTCACTGTTAAGAAAAAGCTTTCCCACATTACTAATTAGCCCTCAGCCTTGGCCGTCCTACCCCCAGGTGCAACAGCTGGGTCATTATCAAGGCCAGTCCTCTTGTCATTCCTGCAGTTACCCACCAAAACAGGGTCATTCCTCCCTGACTTCTGATGGAACCAGAGAAAACTTTCTCATCCTGTCTGGCACCAGGGCAGCGGGGTTTGGGGAGGGAGCCAGCTACTCCTGAGAAGCACGGGTAGGTGACCTGGGCTACTCCCTGCTCTGGCTGCACTACCCAGAAGCCTCACGCCCTACCTCTAGAGTCCAGTGGCCATCATCTATCAGGTGTCTGGCTTACTAGATAAATACATGATTCCTTCTTTCTCCCTTTCTCCTTCCATCAACATACTTAATATTAGCATGTACTGTGCGCTTCTGTATGCCAAGCCCTGCTCTCAGCACTGGGGAAATGGGAACAAAATACACAAGAACCCCAGCCCTCGTGGAGCTTAGTTTCCAGTAGTGGAAGCCAATAGAAAAGCCGATGGTGATCAATAGAAGATTCTTTGCGTTCCTTTCAAAGAGCCAAGTCTCCTCACGGATCTCTGTAATGATTTATAGAAACTTCTAAATAACGTTTCCTTTAGCTATGCTGGTGTGTTACCTGCAGTCAGCTAGCAGTGGGTAACACATGTGCCCCTTGATGGCGGGGTGACCCCTGCAGGCATCAGTCTCTTCACCTGTGAAGTGGAGGTGCTCGTGCCTTCCTCAGAGGGTCATTGCAGTATTCTGAGGTGGTGTTTGGTCACAGTGCCTGTTGTATAGTAACATGTTCTGCTCACCATCCCTGCCTCTTTTCCAACTTATAGGACTTCTGGAGTCTAATCAGTTCCTCGCTGAACTGAAACTTGCACACAGGGCAAGATCCAGGGAATGAAGGGTAATGAAGGTGCATGAGGAATGGACACCCAGCAGAGGCTGGGGCCCTGCACTCTGCCTTCCCTCCCCCTGCCTCTAACTGCTCTGCAGAGGCTCTGGAAGAGGTAGCCAACCCCAGTGGCTAAAGAGGCCTGCCGCGGGTCTGTTCTTCATGGCACTGATGAGTGCCCCCTGCCTGTGCCCTCGATGCCAGCAGCTGTGCCTGTGAGAATGGGCCCCCAGGTGGTCACCAGGCACTAGATTTTTGTTTCATTCTGTTTCTCCAACAGTACTTTGTTACATGCTGTCAACACCCTGTCTCACAGTGGAGGAAACTGAGGCTAAGAATGTGCCAAAGTCACTTCCTTAATCTGTGACAGAACCATTTGCAGTCAGGTTGTCCAGCTCTGGAGCTGTGGTCTTACTCTGAGCTATGCTTTGTCCTCTTCCATCTACCTGCCCTCAAAACCCCACATCACATGCACAGGAGCTGAGGCTTCTTGGGGCTTTGAGGAGCGCCAGGGGCACACGGACATCCTGCCAGCTTACCCAAGTGCTTGTTTCGACAGCTTTAAAAAGAAGTGAACAGTCCCTCAGAACAAGGAATTGGAAATCCAAGGTGGCACAATTGGAGGCACCAGAGGCCAGGTCCCCGCAGCCTGCCTTTTACAGAGGAGAAAACAGGCCTGGTCAGGGAAGTGGGGTCTCTGCACACAGACTCCTAAAGACTGCCCAGTGGACTCAGGTGCCCTGCACCCAGATACTGGCATTGAAAGTGGACTTAACCCCTCTACTTACCAGCCGTACATAGAACTGGTAACAGAGAGCCTCACTGACCTCCGAGTCCTCTTCTGCAGGTTGTGGACACTTTTGAAATAACGTGTGTGAAATGCCAGCATAGCAGCTGGCACCTGCTAGGTACTCAGTGAAAAGCAGCTATTATTATCACACTTGGTTTTGAAGTTCAACAAATGTTAGGCAACACTAAGTCTCTTAGGTGCCACTTTGAGTCTGTGATTCTGCTGGAATCCACTCCTAAGGCCAGAGAGGAACCGAAGCTCATGCCTTCTCTGAACACCGCAATCTATCCCTGGGAGAGTTCTGCTTCTATTAGGGGTTAGATTCTGAAAGAAAGACCATGGGCTGGCATAGGAGACCAGTAGTGTGCCAGTGGCTTATGGCACACCACTGAACCTCTCCGTAATTTCTTTTGGGTGACATGACGTGGTAATTGGCTGCCCTGATGCTGCCGCCCTCCCAGGGAAGTTTATGCTCATCAAAGGGAGGGCTGGCTGTGAAGTCTCACCATCCAGAGAGGGCCGCACTCCTGCAGGATGTTTCTGGTGGTGGTGGAGAGATGGGGAAACCTCTTTGGGACAGAACTGCCAGGGAGTGAGAATTTGATTCAGACGCATAGCATCCTCACTCAGGGTGATAAAGGGTGAGCTTGGAGAAACCCTACAAAACCCAGCTCTTCCCTCCCTCCCTCACAGAGCCCTGCTCTGGAGCCATGAGAAAGCCCATCAGCCTCCCATCAGTTTGACATGACCCAGCCTAACCCCAAGTGCCCAGGGCTGAATTTGGAAATCTTCACCAGGGGTTGATGAGATGTCTATGGATCCCACGTCCCTTATCTGGTTCTTGCAAGTCCAAATGCAGCTGAACATACAGCTTTTGACAAGAGAGAAGTTATTTCCCAAGTCTTTCTGCAGGCAGACCAGAAGCAGGGGGTAGTTCCAACTTCCTTGCCTGGAGATGCCTGTGGGGCCTGACTGCTAAGGTACAAGGTCTTCCTGACCTTCCACAGAGGACGTGACCACGGGGTCTGCCAGGCTCCTGTGGGAACCAGGCATTGTCTTGACAGTGATTTTCCCCATCCATGCAAGTGAACCCTGGCTCCTACTGCAGTCCAATCACACTCCCCAGGCGAGAGGGGCCAGGAAGGCAAGAGAGGCCAGGGCCAGTGGGCATTCGTGCCTGTTCCTGACTGCCAGCTGTTGAGTTAGACTCTGCTACTTTTATAGATTTTGAGACGCCCTTTCTAGGGTCACATTCTTGATTTTTGCCATTTTTGAACGTGTCTACATGCTCACATGGTTAGTCGTCTGAATCAGGAAGAGAATACTGTGGTTTCAATAATGATCTTGGGTTTTCTTCATTTCATGCCACTCCAACAGAAAAGTAGTGAGCCTTCGTTATGTGCATGGTTCAGTCTGGAGAACTACAAAAGCAGGAATTTAGTAGGGCTGACAGGGAAGGGTGGGGGGAGGCATGAGCTGTGACCTCAATGTTGACCTGATTCCCAGAGTGGCTTCATTCTGAGGGGTACTCTTTACCAGTCTTCAGATGAGCCTTCCTCCAGCAACACCATCAGAAGCAAACCTGTCTCCCCTCCCCCCATCCCCACTCTGCCTCTGGCATTCAAGGTCCTCCTGAGTCCAGACTCACCCAGCCTGGCCAACCTCAATTTCCAAATCCTTTCCAGCATCTTGGGTCCCAGCAATGCCCGGCAGCTTTATTCCTAGAACACAGCAAATACGTCCATTCTCTGGACCTTTACTGACCATATCCCTGCAGCCCGAACACTTCCTTCCTCTCCCTTCCTTCCGTCCCTGCCTTTCAGAGTTTATTCGAAGGGTGTATTCAATCTTATGGGAAGCCTTCCCTGGCCACCTTGCAATAAATTATTTTTCTCTGTGATCTTTACTTGGTTTGCTTATTTAACATCTATTCATTAAGTGTCTGCCCAGTGCCCTATGTTGTGCTGATCTCCTGGATTTAATTTAGCTCTCCTTGCTTTGTGCTTGGAGTGACGGTAGTTTTTCACTCTAAATTCTCGGGGGCTGGGACAGAATCTCAATTTTCGTGTAGGTGTTTCTCACCACCATCTTTTTGTACTTTGTCGGAAGTGGTTTCCAGACTGGGCTATGCCCCACAAGTCCTGTGACCCCAGGCGAATCTTTCTGCATCTCTGGCCTCCCATCTTTATGATGAAATGGTGATGACTCCTCAGGGTTGTCCAAGGGACAATGAGGCGGGGTGAAGAGAAACGTCGCGAAATCGAGGAGCCCCGGGTCAGTGGGAGACCGTTCCCCCCTTCTCCTTTCACGGGCTGTGAAGCAGCGTTGCTTCCCAGTAGCAGTCTTCCAATGTCAAGTGCACCAGCTTCCAATCCCTCCTCCGGGCGGGCCCTCGCCCAGCCGCCTGGAATCCTAGGCTGCGGAGGTTTCCAGTGCAAACTCGGGACTCTCCTTTCGCCCCCCGCCCCTTCCCAAGGATTCGGCAACCGCGTCTTAAACCCCGCGCCTCAGCGCAGTTGGGAGCTCAGCCTGCAACCGCAGCTCCGCGGCGCGGGCCCGGGCCGGGGTCGCGCATCTCCAGCGGCAGACTCGGGGCCGCACGGTCTGGGTGGGTGGAGGTAGGCGGGACCCACCAGGGCCGCGCGGGGGCAGCCGCCGGGTACACTCGGTCGCTGGGCGGTGGGAGCGAGACTAGCTCTGGCCGGTCGCCATTCCGCCGCGGGCGTCTGCCTCGCACGACCTTACTCCCGCGTTGCTTTGCACCCGCCGAGCTCCTCTCCTGGAGCGCAGCGGCCCGGGCGGCCCGCGGGGGCTGGAGCGCGGGGCGGGCTCTGCGCGCGAATGAATGGGCGCCCGGGGGACGCGCGCGCTCGGGGCTGAAGGGCATTAGGACCGTGAGGATCGCTCGGTGCTCCTGTCTCTCCCTATCACCCCCCCACCCCCCACCTCTCTCCTTTTTCTGCTCTGCAGGACTGAGCAGCCGGGCGCGAGCGAAAACAAACAGCTGGGGCTGCGAGCGCCCCCGCCCCGGCCCCGAGAGCACGCCGGCCCGGGCCCCCACCCGGGGCGCTCGCCCGCCCACCATGAGGAAGATCCGCGCCAATGCCATCGCCATCCTGACTGTAGCCTGGATCTTGGGCACTTTCTACTACTTATGGCAGGACAACCGAGCCCACGCAGCATCCTCCGGTGGCCGAGGCGCGCAGAGGGCCGGCGGGCGGCCGGAGCAGCTCCGCGAGGACCGCACCATCCCGCTCATTGTGAGTGTGTCCTGCGCGCCGGGCAGCGGGCCAGGGAGCCGCGGCGCGCATCCCAGCCCCGCACGGCTTCGGAGGGCGCCGGGCCCGGCGGGGTGCTGTGTCCGCCGCGCCCCGCCAGCTTTGTATATGTTGGAGCATTCCTGCCCGTTGTTATGGTAACCTCTGTCGGGCCAGCAGGGCTGAGGCACTCAGATGGGAGGTGGGGTGACAGTGGGTGGGGGCTGGGAGAAAGTGCTGCAAGTTTGGTGGGCCCGGCGTGCGCGCGCGACTGGGAACGTGGCGGCTCTATCGGCACTGCGCCTCCGGGGCCGGGGGCGGGGGGCTGCCTGCGCCTAGCCAGCGAAGACAGGGGGCTGGACTTTGCGCGCAGCTAGCGGGCGGTGGGAACCGCAGCTGCTGAGCGCCTAGGTGACCGTACGCACCCCTTTGCCAGCCTCCTGGGGGCAAAGGACGTCAAGTAGGGGCTCTGGGTAAGGCAGAGTCCCTTAGGGGTTGTGATGGACTTCGAACACTCTTCCCAGCCCGGGCCAACTGGAAACTGCTTCTTGGGCACGGAGGACTCCCCACTAACTCCCCACCCCCCAACCCCCCCGGATTCTCCGGGTAGGCAATAGCCTCTGTGCAAGCCCCTCACCCCAGCACTAGAGTTTATCACGACTCTTGACGCGCAGTGTCTGCCAGGCTCGAAGATTCCCATTCACTAGGTCAGCGACGTCAAAGCCGTCAAAGCGAGCGGGGGGGGGGGGGTTGTGGGAACAAAGGCGGCGTTGCACGACTGGGGCCTCCGCGGAGCTGCCGGGGCCCCTGGGCGCTCCAGGGACCAGGGTTGGAGATGCGGAATCCCCACTGCCCTGCAGGGGGCGTTCCTGTCGCCGCCTCCGCCCGGGCCCTGGGTGACAGCTTGTAGCCTAGGCACCTGTTGAGGCGGGAGGCTTTGGGACCCGCGGAGAAGCGCGCTTCGGCGGACGCTTTCTTTTGACTGGCGCGTTGTTCCCACACTCACGTTCTTCCAGCGGGGGCGGGAGGTAGGTGAGAGCCTTCCGCAACGCTCGGGATAGACGGCTGGGCCGGGGCATCTTAACCGGAGGAGAACCAGAAGGAGAAAGAGCAAAGTGTGCTGCCCGGGGCGGAGGAGTGGGGAGTGTGGCCATTCTACTGGAAAAGATCCAGGGTTTGGGGAGGAAGAGGCCAGGAGCTCTTTGGGGTGGAAGCGGGGG